AAGGTTTCAACAGACGAAGAAATTGATACATGTAATGAACGATTGAAATAAATTCAAAGAACAAATTTAAAGCTAACTAATTGTTATTGTTGGCATTAACTTTGTTTTTTGTATAGACAAATGGAAGTAGGTTCTTAATACTAAGTATTGAAGACTTAATCACATTGATAGGGCCGCTAGTCTAAATCCCAAGTGAAGATAGTTGGTAATATAATTCGTTACACTGTGTGATAGTGACCTAATACGGTATATATGGGGTCAGTAATTTCCATATGAGGATTCGAGCTTTGCTCTCATTTCATATGGAATTTACTTACCCCCATAAATATAGTATGAGGTCACTAACACACCATTTAACTAAACATATCAATGCGTTATTTTTCTAATATAATAGCGATGTGTTTTTAATATGAAAAATTTATGAATGCAATATTTTTCTAATAGAACTGTGATAGTTTTCTCATATAAAATAAATACGATAGCACTTCACATTGTATGTTAAGAAACCCGCAAACACAATTCACAATCATAGTGCATGACCAGTCTATTGTTATAGGCCAAATATCACTAAAATTTCGTACTTATAACAAAATTAACGCTTACATGTACTAATCATGTCGAAAAATGTTGTTTGACCCTATCAATATTTGACAGTGTTAACAACCTGCTAAGTCCATTATTTTCGATCAAATGGTTATACCGAGTAATTCTATTTTCAGTGATGAGGCAATAGGGGAATTTAGTGTAGCTACTGTAAATATTCTACCGACCTTTTTGATTCTATCATAGGTCATGCTGTTAATATCCAAATAGACAAAGAAATATCATTTCTTCAAACAAACAAAAAAACATGCCTACACAATTCAATCCAATACAGTTACACCTGGAAATGAATATTCAAATAGAAAAATAATTATTCCAAATAATGAAAAATATACAAATACTGTTGTCCCGAACTTTGAATATTCCATTAGTCATTCAAATAAAAAACATTTAAACAAGTACATGAAATGAAAATCCAATTGAGCAGCCTCAGACTATAATTAAAAAACAACTTCAGATACCACGAATGAAAAATATTGTCAACTGAAAATGTATTCATTATCATAAATATTGATAAGGAAAACAGTTCTTGTAGGATATCAAAGATTTTCCCCGTTGTTAATTCGATATCGCTATGAACATAACCCCTTTGACGCTTCTTTTCAGATGTTTTGCCAATAAACTTCTCCCTTTTAACAACATATCGTATCAGTTATCATTTCTTGATGTTGTTACCTGGTTCGCTACTGAAAATGCATGTGCAATGCGTATAACAATGAAATAGTCACACTGTTTTGGAGAACTGGAATAAGACAACTCTCCATCCAAGTAACAATGTGTTAAAAGTAAACCATTATAGGTCAAAGTGCGGCCTTCAACACGGAGCATTGGCTCACACCGAACAGCACGTTATATAGGGCCCCACAAATTACTATTGTTAAACCATTCAAATAGGAAAACCAACGGTCTGATATGTAAAAAAAAAACGAGATTGAAAAAAACATGTCAGACTTTGTCGAATCAAACAGAACAGTATGATACATCTTTCGCACAAGTTAGATTCATTGTTCCCAATAAAGAAAATATTCCATGCATGTGTAGGAAGAATATCAGATACGTTCATAAAGAAATTTAACATATGTAACAAATGTGAACAATAATTTGATACTTGGCTATTTAATTACGATGATGTTTATAAAACCTTAATTTGATTAGTTTTGCTTCCAAAACCAATTAAGAAATTGGAAAGATGCTACCAAACACATTTTGAATTTAAACAATGACCTTAAAACTGCTTATTAACATACAATGCTATTTATAATTGACATAACAAAAAAAAGGCCCCAAGGATGACCGAGGAATACAAATATGGTCACTTGGTCTTTTTCCGACCGGCAGTAAAACGCTTACTAAAGTGGGGCGTCCGTTTGGCTGTGTTGGATGTATCAAGTTTGCATCCCCGTCATGTCAGAATCGGGATGTTAAATCCGATGCCTCGTGTAAAGATAGTGCCACGCTCCTTGCACGTTTAGAACCCTTGCAACAGGCCTTTGAGAAGTCCATTTGGTGGCCTGTTGCAAGGCAACATTTCTATCCCTATCCAATAAACCCTCATTTTCCAGTGGCAGTCCAAATTTCCCCGACCATCACCCCGGATGACCTCTATCATTACAAGACCTACCTTTTGTATTTATTGTTAACTTGTTCTTGACTTGAACATGCATGAACTATTGTCACTGGACGCGTACGTTAAGCAACAAACAATCAATCAATCATAACAAAAATAATGCTATCATATTTTAAAAGTTTTGCATTCATATTAGAATGTTTAGCATTTGTTTATTTGTGCACATAAGAAAAACACAGCACTTCAAATTTTACACGGACATACACTTTGCTTTTAACTAGCTACTGAACATACATTTGGATTCAATTGTTGTTTGTATTTAAACAATATGTTTTAATTTTTCGTAAACAACTTTTCTGCATTGAGTGTCTGCATATTTACAATTTCATATTAATATAATATATAACAACAAACCAGAGTATACTGATTTGTATCACTACAATATAATAGTTATTACGGTGAGGTTGAATTCCATGTCATTTGTTCATCATCCACGCACGAAGTTGTCTCAGAAAAAAAATATATCTCTGTACATTAACCCATTTTTAGGTATACAGATGTTTTGGTTTTTTTTTTCTGTGACAACTGCTTGTGACCATCCACAAATACTTGTGGTCATCCGATATTCAGTACTTCAGTACTTTGATTGTTTACTGACATATCATATTGATCATATGAAAAATCAACTACAATCAAAACACTTATTAAATTTTTGGGTCAAACTATGGGTTTTTGTACAAAAATCACTGAAAACTGGATTATCCATATGTTTTATTATTGTAACATAAATATACACAAGTCATGATTTTTAAATAGATAATGACTAACGCGAACTTTCTATAATGGTATATTCCAGTCTATGGAAAGAAGCACATCGAAAACAAAGTTTCTTATATGGAAAAGCGATATTGTCTAATATTTGTATATAACAGTTACATGTATATATAATTTTCATTTATTGTATATCATTCTATTCAACTATTCTAATAATAGTGCATGGTAGACACTCTTCTGTAATAATTCATTTTTTCTAATAGATTGGATTTGAGCAGGCATTCATATTTTCCTGCAAAACGTTATTGAAATATTCTTCCTCATGCGTTAACACAAATTTTCTGTACGTGTGAATAGATAATATTAATGATTCTTTACTTATATATATATATGTTTCTAACGACAAAACATTTTCATATCATTAATTTATGTTCTAAAAAAAAAATAAGAGTATTCATTGGAGAAATGAATTTATAAAAAGGGATAAGGAATGTTATTTATATTATACTCGATAATGTCCGCGTATTTATAGGTTGGTTACCAGTCAAAAACGAAAGTTACGTATTAAGTAAAATATATGTGGCAACAATACATCGAAATGCCCTCACGGTGACGGTCATCGCGATGTCAAAATTAATCAAGGAAATCCTTAGTTGCGATTAGTTTGAGGTTATGTGATATTCTAACTAGATTAACCTAACTACAGGTATAGAGGGTAGATTGGTTATGTATTTTCTTTCATTCTAAACATTTCTGCAGAAACATTAGAAATGAAAAACATCACACGCTTAATCAGTTTCAATCAAGGCCTGATACAAAATATAAAAGCAATTGTTTGCAGATCCTGTGAATTTTAGTGCTTGAGAGATAGAGGCAACGAAAATTGAATAGGACAAACGGAAGAACGAAGACAAGGACGGACATATTACTTACAGTATAACTCCTTTTTGAGAGGCCGTAAACCTAAAATGTATTCATCATACTGTTTATCAACGACAACTACTAACTTACGAATTTATACAGCCTTTCAGGAAGTACTGTAATTTTTATTTTTGCTCAAACAAATACTTGCTTATGAAATCAATCAAAAATCTTGCGTACGTTAGGTATCAAATTTGGTATCAAAAATTGCTCTACCGTTGTCAAATTTGAAATAGTATACCAACTTAGATCGGTTAGGGCGGTTTATTGGGACTGTTTTTCAACGCAGTTGTTGTAACATCTTAACTGTCGTCACCTTTGGAATTTTAGAGTTGTGCCAGTTCATATCGCAAATTACTATTTTATTTTGGCATATCTTTGCAGTCTTTGCGTCATGTTTGGAAATCTAGAATTGTACCAGCGTCACTGATGTTTGCTTAATGATCATACTGATGAATGATATCTGTTATCCGAAATATTTAACATTTGTTCATTTTATTGTTATATTTTGGTGATGTTGTACCCTTTTAGACTGGTTATATATATATATATATATATATATATTATTGTGAAACTACTCCTTTACAACGGGGGCAAGCACCAGCGGGGTACTGACACCTGCGTCATAAAAAAACACACCATAGTACAAAATGTATTTACAAACAACATTATATGATTGTAATAAAAATGGTACAAGATACTTGCAAATGTTTAAAAGTCTAATTAATACATTAACGCTAAAATATCATAATACATTGGTTATTTCGTAAAAGTACATTTCAGTGACAACTTCATATGCATATATAATTGGAAATCTTTCGTCCATAAAAGATTGAAAATTTCATTCTTGAAACTAAAACCGTTCGCACACAGTTTAAGATATTATACATTGGAAATTTTATCAAGAAGAAAAAAACGTTCATTCATAACGTCTTCAAGGTATTTTTTCACGATCTTATCTTGTAGATTTGATATTTAGTCTATTTGCTGGCAGATGACTGTATTGTTTTGTGGTCTAGATTTCAATTGTCTTCTCGTATTTAGTTAATTATAATTTTATAGAATACCAATTTTGAACTTTATTTGTAAAGTCTGGATTTGAATCATATATATATATATATTAATTGTTTTACAGAGTCAAAAGAGAAGCTTACAGAAGTGAAAAACAAATTAGAAAAAAACCTAAGTAAACTAGAAGAACTGTTAAGCAGGGAAGATGCAATTGCAGTTAAAGACCATTTGGTACAGGATAAGATTATCAATTTAACTGACAACGAACATCTCTTGAGACAAGAAAAACGAGTTCACGACGGAAAAAGCAGTTTGATAAAGGAAGTAATTATAATGGTAATTAACAAATTACACCTTGGGTCATATCAGTGTCTCACTCAGAGCTTAGAAGCAATGAGCAATACAAAACGACAGGAACAGATTGATAAAATATTAACAGATGTTTCAGAGGCCGTTTCCGTGCAATCAGGTGAGTAACCATAATACAAGCTCTATTAAAAATAGCATCAGCAAGTTAAGAAATTGTGAGAGCTATGATTCACTCGCACTCCTAAAATGCTTCGGTTATCGATAATTTCTCTTACATTTTTTTTTTAATTTTGAAGAAAATAGGTTTTAGTGGTTTTAGTCAAATTAACTGCATCTTTTAACATTTATCCTAGATAGAACTGTTAATCAATTCATGTCTCTTTAGGCGTCTTAATCTGTAACAAGTTTTACTTCAACTTTGAATTGGACAATTTTTCCCTCTCCTTTTCCTGTTTCATATGATGTCCTGTGACATATGCTGAAAAATCCATACCATCATTTATAGTGAGTAAGTTTATATGTTCATCAGAACCAATCAAATGGGGGTATATAATATGTAGAAAAAATGTGTACACGCATTTTTTTTTAGGAGAACACAGAAGCAGCTAAATGTATACAGCTTTCAAAAACTTTTGAAATTCAAAAGTTTGATAATAACCAACATTAAAAACAAAATCTCAATAGTATTTTTGAAATAGTCAACCAGCCAAACCTCAAACAATTTAAAGATTCCTGTAAGATTTGCGACCTATCTTTGATAAAACGATTGCAGACAGCATATCCACTCGGTAAATAAAAAGAGAAAAGGGACACATTCAAAACTTCTTCAATTGATATCATGACAAAATTTGAGGATGGAAACGGGGAATGTGCCAAAGAGACAACGACCCGACTAAGGAGCAGAGCACAGCCCAAGGCCACATATGGGTCTTTGACACAGCGGGAAAATCCTGTAACCAAATACCTTACCCATTTCCAAGCAACTTATAATGAACTTGTGTAACAAGTAAAACATGTCAATAAAATTGAGTTTACTAAGTCTGAAGTGTAAAATAGTTTTTGGCTGTTAAAGAAAATCATTTGCACATAATGATAACAAATAAAAGTTTTCCTTTTCGATTAAATGATCCAATTTCAACTGAAACTCATGTAAAGCTTTTTTCTGTATTTTAACATCTTTGTATAGATACTATACTTACTGGAAGTGTGATAAGATGGTTAAAACTGTACATATTCTCTTTGGCAACATCTATATACGTTTCGGCATTTGAGTGTATCGATAGGTTGTATGCACCAATTGCGCCCGTTTAATAGCCGTAAGAAAGCATTTTTTCCGATTGTCAATATTATACACATCTAAATTTAAATTTAAATTTAATATGCAAAACAAATAAAAAAGTACGTTCATAAACACACACACAAAAAAGAACTAAGTATAATGTTATGGAGCAAAATAAAACTATATATAATTTCAGTCTTCACACCGTTTATTCTGCACACTTCCCGGTCATTTAAACGTTGTATTTGCTGTAGAATAGGACATTGGGTTGTTTCTCTTATATTTTATCTGGTTAATCGTACACTGAACTGCAGTCAAGTTTAGCGAAAGGCCGTGCGACATAATTAGATAAGCAAACTTTATTAGATCAACATGTTATGGAACGATCGTTGTCATTGGTCAATGCATGCCTTCGGCCTCAAAGAAACTTTCAAGCCCCGCCCAAGCACACCTGCAGAAATAGAACACGCGTACAAAAACGGATCTAAAGTTGAATGGACTGTTCACGTACAGGATTGTGTACTTGATTATCTGATGGCAATTCTAGCTTATATACACGTGCATGTAAAATTATGTATATTATAAATTTGTGCATAAGTTCTATTAAGGTTTTTTGTATTAAAAATAACTTGTTCCCGTCGAAATTTCTCCCCTCAAATAGTTATGGATTAACCCCGTGCACCTATTCTGATCCTTTCTATCTGTTAAGTTACATAAATATGTGTTTGTAATGATAACAAATTAGGAATATGAACGAAATAGCTCGGATGATGTTGAAATAATTTAACTTCAAAAATAGCTATATTACATGTACATGATAAAGATATTGCACGATTAAAGTAAATATAGGGTTGTGAGCCAAAGCTCCGTGTTGAAGGCCGTACTCTGATCTATAATTGTTTACTTTTACACATTGTGACTTGGATGGAGAGTCTCATTGGCACTCATACCTTATCTTTTTAATTACGTCTATGTTCATTTTTCATATTTTGTCGTCAGTATATCACAACCCCCTTCTCGACCGTAAAACTAGGCTCACGTATACACAATCTTTACTAATAAATATGAAACTACATAGACATAGAAAAATGAAATCCCAATGACTACAGTAACTTTTTGAAGCAGGGGAGCTTCGGGTTTTAGGGATTCCACTAAGGAGAGAGTTTTTTTTTCTATTTCAGTTTATTTAAAAAAAAAAATATATGTAAACTAAGAGCAGATATGCTAACATGCTTTGTTTGGAGGTGAAAAAAACATTGACCGCAGTGAAAGGAAATACACTTTATGTAACTCAGGCGATTTAGGTGATTGATTTATTTTTTTTAATTCTTAATCTATGTTGTTGTTTTCAGTATAAAAATAACGGACGCAACTTAATTATATAAAATAAATGTTAACATAGACCAAATATTATGTCAATAAAATCACTGTTATGTAATGAAAAATAATCATTAAAGAAGTGTGTTTATTCATTAAACGTATCAATAAAAAGCGGAACGAGTCCTTTCTTGTGCATGTATTTTGTCATCCATAATTTCTAGATATATATATTTATCGTTTAACAGTTTATTATACATGTATGAGTTTGTACTGCATTCTAACCTCATTGGTATAAATTTAATGATTCACTAGCGGATTCTGATGTAGGATACTTCTTATAATTATAGAAATATAATTCTTATATGATTTGCCTTTTGGGGAATACGTTGATATGATTGGTCGAGAGAACTTCCGGAAGTTGTTCTTGACGTTGTTTATTTTTCGATAGACGACGTTGACCGAACTTCTTTTCGTAACCAATGTAAACAAGATGGCGGCGATAATAACACAATCCGGCTCGACGTTGACCACATTTATTTTCACTTCGCATTAATCGTTAAATTAAATAATAAAAACACAAAACATTCATTTGAATGATAATAAGAGTTTTTAAAGTTTATATTTTATCAGATAGCAAATTTCATGGAATACATATTTTTGCGTTAACCAACAAATATATTCGTGCACGAGGCTAATTCAATGACACAAATTTACAATTTATGTGTGAAAGAAATTACGAGTGTAGAAAAATAAATTCCTTATCTCCAATTTAAAGAATTATAAGGATTAAACGCCTTTTTAAAGGAATTTATTGGTGTATAAACTGGACCAAGTCACTCACAAACATATCATAAAAGCCCTTCGGACTTTTATTTGTTTGTGAGTGAATTGGTCGATTTATACACCAATAAATTCCTTTAAAAAGGCGTTTAATCCTATAATATCTTATTCTAGTATTCGTAGTTTCGGAAGAATAAACTATCTTTATATTTGAACTCCGTACCTGTACTTTTTGCAATCCTTTAGGACAAACATTTCATTTTCGTAGTAACCATGACAGTACCTTATATATCTATGATAGTACCATAAACATTACGAGTAGGTCAGCGATCACTGATGGTTTTTTTTCTTCTACCTTTCCGTGAATGAATGGGACAATGAGTTTCGTTTGTGATACATTCATTTCGAATGACCAAACGCTAAGCTTCTGTAGTGTACGTTCGATTTATAGCATGAAAACAAAAAAGAGAAATTTGCAACGACCCCACTATTTGAAAATCAACACAACACAGCATTATTTTTTTAAAGTTCGTAGTAACATAGTAAAGCATTCAGAATACCAACATGCAAAACAACAGTTCGGAAGGAGTCGTTCTATCCTAGAACAATAAGAGAGTGGAACACCTTGCCCAACTGTAATGTCTCCCCCCGAGTCCTGAATCTTTCAAGGCTCAGCTCCGTCAGTAAATTAAATTGACATATTTTTATTTACACCTGTATATATATAAATTTCACCTAGTGTTTTTTAGGTCTTTCCACTTTTCTGTGGAAAGACCTATTGTATTTGTTCTGATTATTATTATTATTAATTTTTTTTTTTCTTCCGCCTAATTTTGTTCTCGCGCAAAAATTTTTGTTTCGCAAGATGTCGCTTAGATATTTCTTATATAGTATCATACAGTTTATGCGCTTTTTATTTTCACCCATTCTAAGCCGAACAATTTTCTTTGTAGGAGTTATCTCCCTGAACACTGTTGTCCTTGTGACTGCATCTCCTCCGTAACCGTAAAAGAAAGCGACAAATTTATTTTACCAAATGGCTCGCTATATCCTCAGGATTTTTTGTCCAATTTTGACGGAAGCGATACGAAGACTCCATATGAGAGTTATTTCCCCTAATGCATTTGAAATAAGTGATATGCATTTGTAACTGGTAAACCATAAGTGATAGAGACCTAGGGTCTGTTGATTTGAGGTCCTTGGTCCCAAAGAATAGAAAACTAGGTCAAGGTCAAAGGTCAAGGTCATGTTGTGATTTTTTACATTAAGTTCATATCGCTTCTTCCTAGAAAGAGTTATAGATATCGACAAAACAATTTAACCAAAAAGTTTGTCGCGACACGTGTTTACTAGAAATTTTTGGTCGAAATGGTACGCGTCATTTTATTGCAGGGTCAATGTCCCTGTTATGGTCGAATGAACAAATTACTTATCAAAACTTCAAACTTTGCAGCTATCATGTTGTAAATGTTTCTTATCTCAATTATGAACCACAGTCTACCACTACACCCCCCCCCCCCCTTTTTTCAACTGATTTTTTTTTTTAAGTTATCCCATTTCAAAGAAAAGAAGATCGCTTTTAGTCCCGTACATTATACTGTAAAATGCTAATCCTTCTTATGTACAAATTTCTTTCTGAAATAGAAATCCATCCCTGCAAAAATCTGCTCCAATTCATGTATTTTCTGAAATTAATCGATGAGACACGTGCGGTCCGCTTGATTGCAAAATTAAAATCAATGTATTACTGAAATCCTACAATCAAATTTCTAAACATGCATTAAAATACAAATCTGTGCTCCCGTAAACATGTGTACGTAATATGTATGCGTGATCCGACATCAATGACCTGTACAAAATAAAAACAATAGTTATCGTGTTTCTCTGATCAATACACATGTGCTCTGTCCAACGGTCTCCCCTGACAGATATTTCTTATATAGTATCATACAGTTTATGCGCTTTTTATTTTCACCCATTCTAAGCCGAACAATTTTCTTTGTAAGAGTTATCTCCCCAAACACTGTTTTCCTTGTGACTACATCTACTCCGTAACGGCAAAAGAAAGCGACAAACTTATTTTATAAAATTGCTCGTTATATCCTTCGCATGATTTGTCCTATTTTGACCGAAGCAATATGCACACTCCATATGAGAGTTATTTCCCCTTATGCATGTGATATAAGTAATATGCATTTCTAACTGGTAAACCATAAGTGATAGAGACCTAGGGTCTTTTGATTTGAGGTCCTTGGTCCAAAAAAATGAAAATTAGGTCAAGGTCAAAGGTCAAGGTCACATTCTAAATTTTGATTTTGGCTTATTTTCACTTACTTCCAAAAACCGTACAAGATATCGACAAAATATTTTTACTAAATTGTAAGTTGCGACATGTCGTAACACATGATTTGGTTGAAAGGGTACGTTGACCGTAAAAGAGAGTTTTCTCCCTTTTTATATTTAAAATTACATGTATGGTAGTATAACTCATTTACCAAGTATAATAAAGACCTAGGGTAATATGATTAAAGGTCCTTGGTGTATGACCTTGAAATTGAGCTCAAGGTCAAAGTTAAATTTGATGTTCTAGATTTTGACCTTTGCTTTAACTTCATATTTAAACACGATAAAGCCATGGAATTTTTTTTATTAGGTTGCAATTTACATGACCTTGAAAAGCCAACCGGAAGTGACCTTGTGTAAACCGGAAATAGCTTTGTTTTGTACTTATTTGATGTAAAGTGTATTGAACAATATATTTTTGGAATCAGTATCAAGTAAACTATCAAATAAAAGCTGAAGTGACATATTTCAAACCGGAAGTAACAATTTATCTCCTTTATTTAGAAAAAAATGTATAGAAACCATATATTTTTAGAATCAGTTTACAATAAGCTATCATTTGACGCTGGATATGATATTTCAAACTGAATTTTCATAGTTCTATTTCAAAATTGATCTATATGGATGGAAAGACCTTCAATTGTTCTCTGAACAATTGGTTTTTAATTGTTTTTGTTTTTTGTTTTTGTTAAATTTAAAATTGTATTCATGCGCGCACTCAATAAATGTGGCAGGATAGTCAACCAGTTGACGGTGGCCGCTTACTGGAAGAAGAAGAGTACATTCCATAGTCGGTCACCTGTGTCAATTCACGTGCACACTACGATTGTTGTTGTATTTAAATATTTCGGCCAATAAAAAAGGATGTTACAAGTTGTTTGTTTGTGATACGCCAGAATGTTATCAATGAATTACCAAACGCTAAACTTTACTGCAGTTCAGTGTAAATCTGACGGATATACATTGTAACTTATTTCTACACACTTTTTGCTTAATTCTAAATTGATGAAGATAACACAAGATATTATATTTTTATTGCATTTAAATAAAGGCAACAGTAGTATACCGCTGTTCGAAACTCATAAATCGATAGAGATAAAAACAAATCCGGGTTACAAACTAAAACTGAGGGAAACGCATCAAATATAAGAGGAGAACAACGACACAACAAAAACACAACATTAAAAATGTAACACACACAGAAACGAACTATAATATAACAATGGCCATTTTCCTGACTTGGTACAGGACATTTTAAGAAAAAAATGGTGGGTTGAACTCATTGAGCCATTACGACTTTAAACAGCATAATACTGCATGGACTGCTCAATTCCTATGCATATTTCTCAGCACAAGCGTGTGCTTTACTCAATGGCGTTGTGTAGACAGATGTTTCAATAGGTGCTTAATCACGTGATACACATGCATAGTCTGTGTCGCTTTATTGTCCGGTGTAAGTGAAAATAAGCCCTAAACAGTCGTTTGTTTAACTAAATATATATGAATAAATTACTGCAGTATGTTACAATATCAGACTTTATTTAATTGTATTGATGGATTAAACATACTTACTGCTACATTTTGTGTATCTACATTATTGATCGATGATTGATTTGTGTTTAAGGTGGTACATGTATGGGAGTCTAAATTAAAAATGATAGAATGTGTTCATAATTTGCCAAAACGTAGTATATATTGATATATGTTCAGAAATATAATTAAAATGAAAGGTCAACGAGCATTTTCTTAAGGTTATGACAAAATGACCAATTTGGTATGGATTATACAGGAAAAAACATCATAATGTAATTAGAAGATAAACTAAATAATAGAATTGTAAAATAAAATACGAGAAGATATATATAGCTATCATGGCTATTAGAAAATGCTTTGAGGGTATCAAAAGAAAAGATATGGTCACCGTCCGTTTTTCCGCTATAATACAAAATAGCAAAATTCCATGTAGATTCCTTCAGAAATGCAATATTTCAGAGTTACCTCCCCTTAAAATGTCAATTTAAAAACATTAAAAATCAACCAAAAATGATCTTCCCTCGTAAAAATATTAATATATATAAGTTATAATCTTAAACGTTTGTATCCTCAGCTTCCTGACATTAACGATACAAACGTTATTGCACCAGAAACGTTATAATCTTATAAATTTGCTCCTTTAAATGCAAATTCACATTAGTTATCAGCATTCCTGCATTAAATTTTGCTAATTTGATTGAAAATCTGAACCTCAGATTCTCTGTTTTGTACAATCCAAGATGGTGAAAGACACCCATACCACCTTAACGCCAGATTCAGCACTATTGGCTATTTCGAAGCTTTATTGGTGATTGAAACTGGAGTGTCCGACGATAACCACCGTTCGTTGGCAGAAAAATATAGTCATCTCACCTTTCACGTACAACTTCAGTGTTGATTGGCTAGTGATAATTAAACCTTTTGGCCACCGCGGCCCTCTGTTATCTTTATGATATATTGACGTTACCTAGTCACATATTTTTAAAATGTACTGCCGAAATTTATCAAGGGGAATTTAATTAGATAACTCAAACATAAAAAGCATAAACTGCCCTTTTTTTTATCGAGCACGTTACCGAGTCGTGTGAACTGATCGATCCTTTGAATAAACTTATAACCGATCAAAACTGTAATTCGATCTTTGAATGTTGTTTTCGTCGGAATACAAATTGATGTTGTAATCAACTAAATATTGTTATCATAAACCAACGAACATTCGCGGTCCTACCTCTTTTTTTTGCATTATGCAATTATTTCTTTTTAATCTGTTATTGGTTCTGAACTGGCTTTTAGTACTCGTCAGTACTCTAATGTCTGTACTTTGTGTCTAGAGTTTCTTAGTTGTTCGTGTGCTTTGTATTCATATGACCTTATTAAGCCATACGTTTTCAACTGATTTAATAGGTTTTATTTTCTTACACTGTGCTGTTACACTACTGTTAGGTAGGGCGCCCGGAAACACGTTAAACCCTCTACAGCTTTTTTTAAGACATATACATTGTGTATATGAGAGTAGAGGGTACAGGGACCTTTTGGAGCATCTGTGTTCACTCCTGGATTTGGTGTGACTAAATTCGTTAGTTGTTTGGTTGCGTTTTGCTATTTTTATTGTGTTTTTACCATGGTGTTCTATTGCACTTACTCAAATAGTATCATCTACATTTTGTAATATTAACAATATAACGAACATCAAAAACATTTGTATACTTCAGCGAGGTTATTCCGTCGGGAATTACTACCTTTTATTTTCCAAGAAGCTTTCGTATCAATCATAAACATAATCTTTACATGTATACATGTTTATCGTTGTAGGATTGCAGCCTATAGAAATCGAGCATATGCAATCTAAATTCTATGATAAACCAATAGGTAATATACAAGTCAAAACTATTTTCGTAATTCAAAACATGAACCTATATACCATTGTTTAACATTATATATAAAAGTGTCTTGCGTCATTATATATTGAGTAAATATTTTCTCGACCAATATATTAAATTGAACGCAATAATGCTCATCAGGCGTACACAACTATAAACATCACTGGGGTAAAGCTGATGACCGTAACTGGATTCACGGTCATCCCAACATGGATGTCGGATGAAAAATTAAGTCAGTATCTGTATTGTCTGTTAAAGTATTTCTATATCATTTTGTTGCAAAGCATACATTGGTACGATGAAAATTTATAAAAGATTCACACGGAAATCACAAATTACTACCGAGAAATGTGTATGAAACAGGAAATTGGATTTGACAAAATCGCTAAGATGACCGTAAATCATCATTAAAATATTTTCAAGATGATCGTTACATATAACAAGGATGACCGTGATTGGTTAAAAGATGACCGTAATTTGTAAAGGATTACCGTAATTTATAAAGGATGACCGTAACTTTTAAAGGATGATCGTCAATTCTAAGAAATATCCGTATGTGTATTACCTTTTTTGTATCAAATAATTAATCGTGTTGGTATAAAACGTATTTATAAGACAGTATTATCCTATAGGTAGAAAAAAATAAGACGTGCTTCAAATACATAGTTCACCATATGTAGCCTCCAACTACAAGCCAACAGTTTTATTTTTTTTATTTCTGGGATTCCTTTTAATGTCATATAATAAATACATCTTTTTAAAAATGCCAATGCATGTACACACATTGATATTATATCGTTTCAACTACCATTGCAAATGTTCTTTATATCAGATAAGTACATGTGTTATCATTATACCACCAGCAAATTCACATCATCTAATGTAGACAACATTTTGATACACACTATAGACGATCATGTTGGTCCACAAACACACATATATGTAAAACAAATCCCCATCATTCCACGAAAAAAAGAATGATAATAAAAAATCAAATTTAAAAAAAAATAATATAAAATTTAAAACAAAAGACACGTTGTAAATTATAACAACTAGTTAACGTATCGAAACTGATATAAAATAGAGAATGGAAACAGGGAATGTGTCTAAGAGACAACAACTTGTTATAGATACGTCCATAAAAATGGGTTTGACGAAAACTATATCCAAAATTTTAACAGAGTCGGTTCTTGATATATTACCAATTTCCATGCTATAATCAGAAAATTTGTTGTGTATGTTTATAACATGAATTTAAGATAAGAGACAAAAAGTACAAGGTGCTAATTGCCAGATCTCGACATTGAACCACTCACACTGGGATGGAGAGATAACAATGTATGCTCGAGTTATCAGTCCTTGAAATAAATTTATTGACAAGATTGGATTACCTCCCTTAAACCGGACTCATTCTTGGCAATAAAATTGAGAATGGAAATGGGGAATGTGTCAAAGAGACAACAACCCGACCATAGAGCAGACAACAGCCGAAGGCCACCAATGGGTCTTCAATGCAGAGAGAAACTTCTGCACCCGGAGGCGTCCTTCAGCTGGCCCCTAAACAAATATGTATACTAGTTCAGTGATAATGGACGTCATACTAAACTCCAAATTATACACAAGAAACTAAAATTAAAAATGATACAAGACTAACAAAGGCCAGGGGCTCCTGACTTGGGACAGGCGCAAAAATGCGGCGGGGTTAAACATGTTTTTTGAGATCTCAACCCTCAAGTATCGTAACTATATCCCTTCTTAATAAGTCTGTTTAAAGGTTTTGTTAGCTTTTAAGGTGAATACTGACATTTTTGTGCTTTGTAAAGAATATTACTATAAAAGATTGGATGTGAAATACCCGAACGTATAAGATGTCTGCATGTTGAGTTATATTTACGAATGATGTCCTTATACCGATGATAAAATTTAGTAAATGTTTTGACTAGTTTATGATATCGAAAACCCTGGTGTAATAATTTTTCAGTAATATATAAATTTCTCTCGCTAAAATCTAATACGTTGTTACATACACGAGCGAATCGTACATGTTGAGATATATAAACACCATAAGATGGTGACAAGGGAACATCACCATCTAAAAATGGATAATTAACGATAGGAAATGAAAAATCATCTCTTTTATCATAAATTTTTGTATTAAGCTTCCCGTTAATGATATAGATATCAAGATCGAGGAAAGGACAGTGGTCATTGTTAGGATTAGCTTTATTTAAAGTAAGTTCAACAGGATAAATTTCTTTAGTATACATACTGAAGTTGTCATTATTGGGAGCCAATATATCATCCAAATATCTAAAAGTATTGTTAAATTTTTGTATCAGATGTTGTTTCGATGGGTCTTTGCTGATTTTAGTCATAAATTGTAACTCATAACAATACAAAACCAGGTCCGCAATAAGTGGTGCACAGTTAGTCCCCATTGGAATTCCGATAACTTGACGATATACGGAATCTCCAAAGCGAACAAGAATGTTATCAAGTAAAAATTCAAGGGCAGATATAGTATCAAAGCATGTCCAATTGACAGAGCTCTTTAGTTTGTTGCTACTAAAAAATTACCTAAAAGAGTTTGAACATATGTATTTGCATTCCGACTTTTTAAATGCCCATTTAATTAGGTGTGTGAATTTTTTCTTAATAAGAATATGAGGCAAAGTGGTATATAGGGTAGAAAAATCAAAACTTTGAACAGATTCAAAATCACCAATATATGCATGCAATTTATCAAGTACTTCCAACGAGTTTTTGACACTCCAAAAGTTGTTAATTCCACTATTTTCAAGTGCCTGGATGTTATTCATATATCAAGACTAATTTAGATTTTATTCTGCTTCCTCTGGAACCATACACATGGGCTCGATTACCGGATATTCATATGTTCAATTATTGTTTTTTTTTCGTCGTATCGCTGTCAATTTGTATTAAAATTTTAACGTCGTTATCATTTTAGATATTTAATTGTTTACGAGAAATATACAATTTACTATCATTGTCATGAACTCAAAATACCGCAAATAGTTAAAAAGAAATTGATTAAACATATTTATATCAGCTAACCGAGCCCCTATTGAGACAAACTCAACAAAAAGCTATGAATACAAATACGGATATTTTTTTTAGAATTGACGGTCGTCCTTTAAATGTTACGGTCATCCTTATAAACTACGGTCATCCTTTACACATTACGGTCATCTTTTAACCAATTACGGTCACCCTTGTTATGAATCGCTGATCCTGTTACAGTCATCTCGATTATGATTTACGGTCATCTTAGCGATTTTTTCAAATCCAATATCCTGTTTCATACACATTTCTCGGTAGTAATTTGTGATTTCCGTGTAAATCTTTTATAAATTTACATCGTACCAATGTATGCTTTGTACAAAAAAGGATATAGAAACACTTTAACAGACAATACAGATACTGACCTAATTTGTTATCCGACATCTTGGGATGACCGTGAATCCAGTTACGGTCATCAGCTTTACCCCAGTGAACATGGGGTGCTGTTCTCGAAAGTACTTGTCTTAAGACACATCATAAGACTAATTTAAAGATGGACTTAGGATCATCTTAGGACACTCATAAGTTGTTTCTCGAAGCTATCTCAGACGCATCTTATGTTAGGGCGTCCTAAACATATTATAAGTGCGAAATTTAAAATCGTGAAAGCAATTTTTAGATAAGCATTTATTTATGAAGAAACCAATAAATAGAATTGTTTGCATATATATTATAAAATTAAATGCATGATTTCAAATTTAATTATAACTTAATATCAAAAAGGATTGTAATCTAAACAGGAAAGCAATTTGTTTTGAAATTAGAATTGACTTTGAAGTGTCATTATATCGTGAACCACGGAGTTCAAAGTTTACAATCATGCACAGCTTTTTTAGATACGAGATAATAACCGATGGTGTGTTTTATTTCATATTCATCTTCACGAAAAATAATGAGCAAAAAGCGAAATTCAAACTTTACGGATGCGAAATTAAACATTATTTTATATCAATTGGAGAGTTAGATGGGCATTTAATTCAGTAAGCACAGCACTGTAGACACAAACGCCGTTAAAAAATTGTCTGAAACGTGTCATAAAGTTAGGAAGATAGGATGATCTTAAGACACATTATTATGTGTTCTAAAGTTAGGACGAAAAAATGCGATATATCCTAAATGAAGAGAGCTTCGAGAACACGACTTATGACAAAGACATGTCATAAGATGGTCTTATGACACGTCCTAATCCTTAGTTCGAGAACAAAACCCCTGGAATCTTTGATGGCATTTTTATGACATCGCACCAAATATTGCAGTCACTTTAATGAAGCATTGTCTATTCTATCCAACTTGCTTATATATCATCTTCTGGAGTACAAATATCGTTTTATTCGGAACAAAAATGAGTGTTCGGACTATTTCCGAAGGATTTTTGTAGTCACGATTTTTTTTATAAAATAAACCCAATAAAGCGTGCACTTTTTGCATCAATTTTTGCAACAAAATTGATTTCACCCATTTTCCTGACTAAATTGGTAATTGTTTTATACAAGTTCAACATTGAATTTTACTTAATAAACATTCTGTAAATGAAAGTCATCGTAATTTACTTTATTTCAGTTTTCTGTTTTTTAAAAGAGTATATTCAGCCATCAACAAGATATTAGAGATTGCATTTTTAATTTTAGATGACAATACTGATTTCAAATTGACGATGAGGGCCACAAATAAGACAGAACAGGAAGTTGAGGAAGTTTACAGGCCGATTGAAAACAATCTAAAGACATTGAAAAGGATATTCTTATCCAGGTTTGCTTCTACTCCTGTAAAAATAAGTAAAGGATCTCTAGTAATTAACTTTCAGATGATGGAAAGAAATATGCAAGAATATATAAAAGAATGTCTTCGGAATGGACATGTATCAACTTTAATAAAAATGATATTCAATGAGATAGCGATAGAAGATGTAGTTCCATCAGGAGAGATACTGTTACATGTACAAATTGAGGTGAATAAAGATTTGGATTTGCCTGAACCAAGTAAGTATCACATACCAACAATAAGTACATATTTAATGGTTATCGTTATGCTTTTAATTGTTTATTGCTTATTGTTTTCCAGAACTCATAGTCACAGACTGAACAATCTTGTATCGTGCACTGGATCCATTCGTTTGATGTGTTTGCGCTTTCAATTTTTCCATTTGATAAGGGAATTTCCGTTTTGAATTTTCCTCGGAGTTCAGTATTTTTGTGATTTTACTTTTTTCGTAGGATGCCCAGTCAACGAATTTGATCGATTTTGATTAACGGAATAAATCACGGCTGTACTTGATTTCATCGGAAAAAGGAGAAATATTTATGTCGCTGTTGTCTCCATTGGTCACGATTTTCTTCGAATTGGGTAAAAGTTGAAAGCAAAAATTTCAAGGAAAACGAAGATTCACGTTTAGGCAGGGAGCACCTACAGATATGCATTTATATCAAAATAAGTTCAAAGAATTCAAAGAATATAGTTTCTATACTTAGGGCTAAATTTATATTCATGTTGCCAAATATGATTCAAGATTGACATTTGTACTTAAAGGGTGCATATTTAAAATTTTCATTCAGCTGGTAAATAGCAGTGACCTTGACCTATTAAAGTTTCCCAATTCGGAATTTTAACATAAGATTCGATACAAGGAATGTTTAGAGATGCTTTATATATGACATATATATATATATATATACGACATATATAACTTTATATATATATACATGACATATTATACCAGCTTAGATCATTCAGTGCTGTTTTTTGGGAATGTATTTCCACGCAGTTGTTGTAACATCTTAACTTTTATTTTAGAATTTTAGAGTTGTGCCAGTTCATATCGCAAATAACTAAATTTATTTTAGGCATATCTGTGAGTCTTTGCGTCGTGTTTTGGAAATTTTAGAATTGTACAAGCATCTCTATATATGATATTCGTGTAAAACTGTTTAACTGTTTTATTATATAGAATTCATGTATGCCCTCTGGGGAAACTGTCCTTAGTTTTCTTATCCAAAACATTTCCAGAGCAAGTCTTTCGGCCCTTGACCATCCCTAGTTGTGGTCTATGATTGCGATTGTAAGGTTTTTGAGAACAGCTTGGGCGTGCCTATGTGATCTCAAATGACGACTCACGGGGAAATCGGGCTTGCAGGTGTAGTCACTTCGATGACCATTCATGCGTTTGTTGAATGGCTGTTCTGTCTCGCCAACACACTGCATGCCACATCGACACTGAAGAAGGTATACAACATTCTGGGTTTTGCAAGAAACATTACAAAATATAGTGTACACAGACCCAGTGGAGTGGCAAGTAAATGTTTGAGTATTCAGTATTTGTTGGCAAGTCAGACATCGTCTGTTACCACACGACTTGCACCATCCTGCAGTTGAACAGCTTTTATTTGAGGAGACGTCAGATCTTACACATAAGTCTTTCAGACTTGCTGATCTCCGAAAAGCTAAGACAGGAGGATTGGGAAAGATCTTGGATAATTTTGGGTGCTTGGCAATAATTTGCCAATTGGCACGCATCAAACGTGAAAGGCAATTAAAGACGGGATTGTATGTTAAAACAAACGGAAATATTTTGTTGCGCCTCTTCTGTTTGTACTGAAACAGGTCATTGTGGCTGATGTCATTAGCATGCGCAAACCCCTTATCTATGACCTATTTCTTATAACCTCGGTTGGTAAAAAAAAAGTTCCTGTAAACGTTTAGTGACAGCCTCCTTAGAGGAGCAAATCATCTTTACTCTGAGAACTTGACTGTACGGGATACTTTTTGTACAGTGTTTGGGGTGACAGCTGTAGGGAGAAAGGTACTGATGTTTATCTGTAGGTTTACAGTAAAGGTCTGTTGATATGACACCGTCCTTATAATAGATTTAGTTGTGTCTACGAAAGATATTTTGGAGTCGATAATTTCATATGTAAATTTAATTGACTGGTGGACGTTATTTGCATGTCTGATAAAATCATCCAATTTTTGTTGTGATTCATTCCATTTCATGTCAACATCATCGATGAAACGGAACCAAGACAGAGGTTTGGATAAAGATGTTGAAATAATTTGTTTCTTTAATTTACAAATAAAAATATTGGCATAAGACGGTGCCATTTTCGTTCCCATCGCTGTCCCGTTTATCTGAAGGTTATGTTCGCCATTAAAGGTGAAATTGTTGCATTTCAGAACCAGAGTAAGCAGCTGAAATAAACAATCGGTAGGGGGTTCTAAAGTGTTTCCATATTTCCTTACACGATTGTATTCCGTAATCATGAGGTATGTTGGTATACAATGAGGTGACATCTAAAGTGACAAGGAGGGTTTCCGGAGGAAGAGGGTTCATGGATTCCATTTTACGAAGATAATCTGTAGTGTTTTGAATGTGAAAAGGAAGATTTTCTACATGTGATCTTAAATGAAAGTCTACGAATTCCGAGATTTTCTCAGTCGGGTGGCCGTTTGCGGATACAATGGGTCTACCAGGGTTGTTAACCTTGTGTATTTTTAGAAAAAGAAACAATCGACCAGGCTTGGCGTTCTCTGGTTTTAAATATCCGATTGTACCCTCATCTATGTGACCGTCATCGTTCATGGTTTGTAACGCAGTAATAATTTTGGAACTAAACTCAGAAGTAGGGTCATAGTCAAGCTTCTTATAAAACCTCTCATCAGAGAGCTGACGCTCTGCTTCCGCGATGTAGTTAGCTTTGTCCATTACCACAACGGCTCTTCCCTTGTCTGATGGTTTTATCACAATATCATCTCGGTTTCTCAGCGATTATATGGCTTTTTTCTCGTCAGAAGAGGTGTTTTAAAATGACGAGTACTTGTTGCTAGCTAAATGAGCAACATCCGATTTGATTTTGTCGATAACATCTACCTGCAGTTAAGCAGATTTACTTGGTTTTTGAATCTACGAACCTTTCTTTTTAAAATGCAGAATTCTGATTTCTTCCCCCGAGTCAGACGTGTCTGAGTCTTCCTCATTATCCTTGTTACCAAAGTATTTTTAATTTAGAGGGTTCTGGCAAAGTTATTATACCCCACGCAACGAAGTTGCGGAGGGTATAATGTTTTTGACCCGTCTTTCCGTCTGTCTGTCCGTCCGTCCGTCAGTCCGTCAGTCCGTCAGTCCAGGTCTTGTCATCTCAACTCATCTGAAACCACACAACAGAATTTCATGAAACTTTGCAGACAATAAGGATATACTATGTAAATGTGCATATCGACAGGAAATTAAGATTCAATATTTTTTCTAGGAGTTACACCCCTTTGAACTTATTTGCTTAAATATACTACTGCAACAGTTTGTCATTGCAACTCCTCTGAAACCACACAACAGAATTTCATGAAACTTTGTAGACAATAAGGATATACTATGTAGATGTGCATATCGACAGGAAATTAAGATTCAATATTTTTTCTAGGAGTTACACCCCTTTGAACTTATTTGCTTAAATATACTACTGCAACAGTTTGTCATTGCAACTCCTCTGAAACCACACAACAGAATTTCATGAAACTTTGTAGATAATAAGGACATACTATGTAGTTGTGCATATCGACAGGAAATTATGATTCAATTTTTTTTCTAGGAGTTACGCCCCTTTGAACTTATTTGCTTCAATATATTACTGCAACAGTTTGTCATCGCAACTCCTCTGAAACCACACAACATAATTTCATGAAACTTTGTAGACAATAAGGATATACTATGTAGATGTGCATATCGACAGGAAATTAAGATTCAATATTTTTTCTAGGAGTTACACCCTTTGAACTTATTTGCTTAAATATACTACTGCAACAGTTTGTCATCGCAACTCCTCTGAAACCACACAACAGAATTTCATGAAACTTTGTAGATAATTTGGACATACTATGTAGATGTGCATATCGACAAGAAATTATGATTCAGGTTTTCTTTAGGAGTTACGCCCCTTTGAACTTATTTACCTCAATATACTACTGCAACAGTTTGTAATCAAAACTTCTCTGAAACCACTCAATAGAGATTCATGAAACCTTTTAGATAATAAGGACATACTATGTAGATATGCATAACGAAAGGAAATTATGATTCAATTTTGTTTTCTTAGAGTTATTTTATTTGTCCAGTGACAATGTGGGGACGTGGGGTATATGAGCGCGCTCACTAAGGATCTTTAATTAAGGTCATATATATATATATATATATATATATTTAGAAGTTTCCCTCATGAAATGATTTTTCCGTCTTTTGATAGAAGGTTTTCGCAATGCTTTTCTTGGTAAATATCCATTTTTCTTGGTGAGTGTTGAAGAACGTTCAATTGAACTTAATTGCGAAATGAATTGAATAAACAAGTCTGAGTATATCTTTGCTGTATAGAAATAAGACAGAATGCAAACTAAAAGAGGGGGAGGGTTTCTTTTAAAGTATTTATGAAAACAAAATGCCAATTAGAAACAGATTATTCACTCCATCTTACACACGTATATGCTTTATTTGCATAAATTGGTCTACAATTAAGTTAAAGATTGTTTACAAAAACAGTGCTGTTAACAACATCAATCTAATCAAAATATAGATATTTGATTTCGTTATCCTTATATGAGCTTACATATACGAGCACGCGAGTCAAAATAGATCAGAACTTTAATCAGATTAAAACAACATAGAAAAATTGCCGTAGCTAGCAGTAGCTATTACGATTCATTGTCTACTGTTAAGTTGAAAGCCCACCGACCAGGTTAAGGTTAGATAGCTAATTAGTTGGTTTTTTTTTAAATCGCGAGGCATACAGCATAGAATCTGATGGTGGCGGCGGCAACGCCATAAACTATTTGTGTATATTTATATTTCAGAGGGTATAGGTATTGGATGGTTTATACTTTGTATACACATCCATAGTGTTACGAAGCTAAGTTTTGTCATACAATCATTGTCCTTTACCTAATTTTCATGGTTTTGGTATCCTTGTAAGGTCTACATTTCGGTCATACATGGATTACATGA